GTCAAATATCCATATATATATATATATACAGTACGTACATTAAAAGAAATACGCCCAATTTTATACATAATAGCATTTTTAAAGAAATAGGCATTTCCTACACCAGTATTAGAGCTGAGTTATGTGCTTCTTTTGCATTGTCCTCACTGACTGTGAGCAAAAACAAACACACAAGGTAACATGCCATCACATTCACAAATTAGACATTTGATTCAGAATCCAGTAGACAAATGACTCTCGCATTTATTTTTTAACAAACTATCTTACAAACTGACAAGTGGCCATTATAGGACAAATTGGCGTTTATGGTTTAGGTGCAGCCATTGCTTTTAATCTTGGTGAATAACGGGGGTGGTGGTATTTACAGCACTATAAACTGACACAATAAAGGCCTAATTGCATTAGCAGTCAGTGAGGGTCACACAACTTTCACATTGATCTCATATGGACTGAGCAGTGAGCACAGAGTAGGTCACCGCTATAATGCAGTTCATTGATCCAATTTTGTGTATACGTTTATTCATAACCACCCCCCCTGCACCACAATTATTATTTCTTTCCTTATTTTCCTCACTACCCAGCAGTGTACTTAACTTTAGCTTATGGAAACACTACTATGCTGTGTTGTCGAAAGGATCTGGGACAGTATTACAGTTCTGATTACGTTCTTCATAATCTGATGACAGACCTCTGCTGTCTGCTTCTGAAAACTAATGCCATGATGTCAAACGCAAATGTGTCTATGTTAATACTTCTTGGTAGGATTGTTTATCCCTTTAAAGCTTCATTTTGAGCCTCTACTGGAGTTCAAACAGCATACACACATAAACTTATTCTTCGAAGTAAATAAATACGATTATTGGAGTAAGAAGATACCATTTAATTCTTTCTAATTCAAAAATTGACATTAAATCAATGTGTTACTTGCTGTATCTTTGTAATTATCTGGGAAATTTACTAGCAATTGAAAACTGAAAGTGAAAATGGTTTCAAAGTAAAAATTACACCAATTTTATTTCAGCGTACGCAACATTTTAACGCATATAAGAGGACAATGGCTGTTTAACAGAATTGCTCAATATAATGACATTTGTTTTCAACAACGCACTCTTACGGCAACTCATAAGTTTTAAGTTTTGGCGACTTACATATGAATTTGTACGATCGTGTTCGTACACTCTAAACAATGCTGGGTTGTTTTAACCCAAATTTGGGTCAAATATGGACAAACCCAAATGTTGGGTTAAAAATGTAATTTAAAATTTTAACCCAACTTCAACTTTCACTTTCAGCTGTACATTTTTTAATTACATTTTTAACCCAACATTTGGGTTTGTCCATATTTGACCCAAATTTGGGTTGAAACAACCCAGCATTTTTTAGAGTGTAGGTTTTCGTACAATCTTACACCCCACTTGATGGGTTAGGTTTAGGGATGGACCTTCATGCTACTTTTTTTCTAAACATACTACAGTTTTCGTACTTATTGAAAAGAAATCCCCAACTTGTAAAACAACAACGCTTTCTCATGAGATTGGATTGGTTTTCAAACAGTTTCCCACAAGAACACTCCTTATCTGTCATTGGTTGGGAAGATAGCCACGCCCCTGAACACACCATTGGTTGAGCTCATGTTGCTTTGTTAGGCAGGTTGCTCAAACAAACAGAGCAATATTTTGATAGTGCCAAAACATTTATGGTTTTTTTTTGGGGGGGGGGGGGGGGGGGGGGGGGGTGGTGGTCTACAAATGGTTTATTTATTTTGTTGCCTCTGCATTTAATTACATTACAGATAACCATTAACAACGTGTAAGGACAACTGACTAATCGTGATTCGTTGACTTGCAGGAACAATCCCAAAAGTAAGCAAATGACGTTTTCTTCTTAATATTGGTGTAGTCGATTATATTTCTAAGCAGTGGTTGAGCAAGAAAAAATGGCTCACTGCACAAGAGTCTTGTGAAGACCCTGATAAGATGTTTCTAGCACTGCAGGTTTAAAGAGACCTGGCAGGGGTGCAATTCTGGGGCTCCTTAATAAGAGGAAGGTGCAATGAGCAACACTTCACACACTGTGAGTCCACCCTCCATTGATGTCTACACTCCTTCACAATAGCTATGAAGCCTTATTACATGAGAGACTCCGCATCCCTACAGAAAGAAGAGTCACTGGGGAGCAAGAGCAATTCATTGGTTTGTTTCCATCATTGTTTCGTCTCATTGCGGTTCAAACAAGTCAGTAGTTTATGAAACCAAACCAAACCAAACCCACATGAAAGAGCTTGGACTATTAGAAAAATTGGCATTTTGGTGAATTCATTAGCAAAATATCCAAATTATGTGTTATCCATCAAAAAGTCCACATACAAGTTCATTTTCATAAAGATCACTCTTGAGAAGTAAATTCACATTGCATGATGTAAAAAGAGAAATGATTAGAACAAGATAAAAGAGAGAAGAAATTAGCCTGATGTTTTTCTTCGTTCTCTTTGTAAGGGCGAACAAAGGGAGAGTTGCCTGAGCTTTTCTTTTCATGGAAATCGCTCGCTTGTGTGGACCATCCCAGAGTCCTCATCAGCTTGGACCATGACAACCGGGAGAATACAGGGCCGTCCTCGAAAAGGTCAAACCCATGGGGACCCACCAACTTCAGACTCATTTAGTACCGCTACACAACACCTCACGCCACACTACAGAACTTGGGGTCTCACGAATTTAACCCCACGAAGCTCGTTACCCTGAGCAGACACAAAAAACCACATGGCTTACAAAATTTTACATTAATTAATGACTCAATTTAAGCCATGATGAGGTTTATACGGTAACACTTTACAATAAGGTCTCATTTGTCAACCTTAATGGATGCATTAGCAAACATTTATTTTACAGCATTTTATTAATCTTTGTTAATGATAGTTAATCAAATACAATTATTAATTGTTCATGTTATCTCATAGTGCATTAACTAATTGTAACAGAACTTTTGGTTTTAATAAATGTATTATGTTGAAAATAAACTAAGATTAATGTCAAAAATGTGTTAATTGTTAGTTCAATGTTAACTATTAAAGGGATAGTTCACCCAAAAAGGGAAATTTTGTCATTAATTACTCACCACCATGTTGTTCCAAACCTGTAAGACTTTCGTTCATCTTCGGAACACATAAAGATATTTTAATACAATCTGAGATTTCAGCCCCTTAATTGACAATCTATGCAACTACCATTCAAGCCCCAGAAATATAGTCAAGTCCAGTGGTTTAACCTCAGTTTTATGAAGTGACGCGAGTGAAAATCATGATTTACCACTTCGTTTACAAAATATTAATCTCCACGATGCACGCATGTTGTTTTGACAAAAGTATTGAAAGTGGTAGCTGCGTAGCTGTCAATGGAGGGACATAAAGCTCTCAGATTTCATCAAACATATCTTTATTTGTGTTCTGAAGATGAACAAAAGTCTTACGGGTTTGGAACGACATGAGGGTGAATAATTAAAGACAGAATTTAAATGTTAGCCTATCCCTTTAAGGTCGTCTTCAGCTGTACTAAGTGCAGAGCCAATGGAGCTTTGCTTTGGATCCATTTTTGTTGGTGGAGAAGAAGCTACATATTTTGTTTGACACATAAGCTACATGATATTAACTAATGTTAAGTAATGAAACCTTGTTGTAAAGTGTTACTATATCCTGCGGATTATGAAAAACTGATTAAATGTTTATTAATCTGGTATTTTTTCAAGCAGAGTGGCCCTCCAAAAAAATGTGTCCTCTTAAGATGCACTTAAAAATGATCCAAAATATCAAACCAATTTTCTGAGCAATTCTGGACTTTAACCAAATGCTTCCTTGGTAATTTTATTATTTTAGTCAGTTATCTATAGTTCACTTTAACGTTTGACGACCGCAAAGTGTCCAAATACTTCAGATACCATTTGTTTTATAATTTAAAAACAATTTATTTTATTAAATATTTGTCTTGAAAGTGTGCTTGTGCCATCTTTCTTTTGAATACATTTGGCTTGATGTTTTGTCTAATGCAATGCCATACCCCATTTTAAGTGCGTCCAAAGAGATTGTGTGCATCTTTTATGTATATTGTATAACATCTCTTCAATTTTTCAACAGCCCTGCTGTTATGAGGAATGTACATGTGTGCTACTGAATAAAAAAAAAACATTTAACATCTCAAAGCATTTTATTCTCTCCCTCCTCAAGCAGAATTAAAGTAAAAAAAAAAGAAAAAAAAGACAATTACAAAGAAACACACAGGTTGCAGTTACTACCACAGCTGTAGTATACTGTCAGTCCACGCATATTCTGCCAATATTTGCCATTATTTCCATAAAATACATCAGCATTAGCCATGAATGCCTCTCACGCCCTCACAACAAACCCTCAGACCCCAAATAGGAGGGAGTTCGAGAGTAGGAGGTAAAACAAGAGCTGTAAATGCCCATTTGCTTTACAGGATCAATCTGGAAACGCAGTATCCCACTGCCAGAAAACAACGCTAACACACCCACCCTAGAAAGTCAAACCCTATCTTCTCTACATCCTTAAACTATAGTCATCCATCCATATTACACCCTTAAGTGAAGGATCATAGAGGAGTGAAACATGCAGCAGTAAGCAGGTACACCCTCGGCCCATTAATATGGGATGGGTGCTGAGTCTAAATGCTGGAAAATGCCCCAAAATGCCCTAGTTAACGAGAACAAACTTCTATTTAGAAGGATAGAAGGAGGCTTAAAAGACACTGAGATATGAATCATTTATCCTTAAGCAATAATTCATGGTTTTACATGGAAAACAGAGTGCAGCCAAGCCCTCTTTACTTTACACTGCCTTTCCATGCTGCAAGTTTACAAGCTGCTCCATAATAAATAACAGAGGAGGCTGTGCGTAATAGTATCAAGCATCCTCGCGCACAGCCCGAACCCAAACGCTCCAGCTGTTTCTGCAACAACACGCACTTTTCTCACTTGAACATGCATCTCACCATTGCTGAAGAACAAGGCGTCTGTCTATCCAGCGGCTTGGAGGTTACGGTCGCTTTTCCGGAAGGTGTTATGCTCTTAATTTCGGTGTCTCATCATCATCATGATCTCCCGTTTGGAAAATGAATAGGAGGGGAAATGTCCAGGGCGCCGCATAGAGAGAGCGCGCGCGCGAGAGAGAGAGAGAGAGCAGTGCGCATGAATAAGAAGAGCCGTGTGTTTGACTGCGGAGAGCTGGAGGGCGAATAGCGTCCGTGTGCTGTAGTGCTGTAGTGCTGAGTCCGTGAGCGCTTGCAGTGGAAAGCAGTGGAGCACAGGCTGGAGGCTGGAGGGAATGCCGAGGAATGACAAGCGGCTTCCACCATCCACAGTCGGCTCGTACCATGTGTGCGCACGAGAGGGGGGTGCGCGCGTGATCGCGAGCGCTTTTTACGCGGGCTAAAACGTGTAAAAATTACTACAGTAAAACTGTGTTTGATAGCATGCAAGATACCTTACCGCATATGGTAAATATGATGCTGTATTTTAAAAGGACATCTATTTTACTGTAAAATATTGGAAGTAAACCGTATAGCCTAAATTAAATAAATTTACGGAGAAAAAAATATGAAAATTATAATTAACAAGGCAATTACATTTAAAATTGTGTTTTTGTAAATAAAAATCATGTATAGGTTATAAACAAAATAGTAATTTCCCCAAATCTCTGCCTGAATTTTTTTTTTTTAATTAATAGATTGGCATATTAAAAATTATTCTTGCCCTCATCAAATACTGTTCATTTAAATAATCAGGTTTTACAAAAAAAAAGAAAAAAAAAACTTTTTGAAAACACATTTATGACAAATTAAGAAATTAACAATTTTGGGTATTGCCAGCTAAGGTTCTTCAAGATTTTTTTAAATTACTTAATTATTTAATTAATAATTCATTGTTTGGTAACACTTTATAATAACTGCACGCTATTAATCATTTGTTACGCATGACTAAACAGTTAATTCATCGTTCATAAAGCATTAATAGACATTAATAAGCAGTTTATAAATACAGCTATAGATGCTTTTTTTCTTGATTTATAAGCATATCTATAATGCGTTTAATAATTGTATTTTCATACTTTGTTAATGATCAATTAATAATTTCTAAATTAAGTATAGCATTATTTACAAACCAGTTATTTAAGAGTTGTCAGTCATTCATAAGATCACTTAAAGTGTAAGTAAATGTAGTAAATACAGGTAGTTATAAAGCATTTAGTAGTGGTCAGTTAACTATTTTGTGAGCTCATCTAAAGTGAGGACTATTCATGCCTTGTAAAGCATTTATAAAGGAGATTTAAAGGCTCATCAATCTTCTAAACAGTAAAATGTAACAAACACAACACAGTGATACAGAACATAGAAATATTTAACAGCCTTTAAATCTCCTTTATAAATGCTTTACAAGGCATGAATAGTCCTCACTTTAGATGAGCTCACAAACATAGTTAACTGACCACTACTAAATGCTTTATAACTACCCGAATTAACCCTGAATTACAGCATAAATACATGTTAGTAAAGCATTTATTAACACACTAAGTAACCATCACTATATGTCTGAATAATAAGATGTATGAATGTACATTTAAATAGTTTATTAATCATTTACTTACACATTCTAAGTAATCTTATGAACCACTGACAACTCTTAAATAACTGGTTTATAAAAAATGCAATTCTTCATTTAGAAATGATAAATTGATCATTAATAAAGGATGAAAATACAATTATTAAACAAATTATGATATGCTTTTAAATCAAGAATAAAGCATTTATAGCTGTATTTATAAACTGCTTATTAATGTCTATTAATGCTTTATGAATGATGAATTAACTGTTTACTCATGCTTAACTAACGATTATTAGCGTGTAGTTATTATAAAGTGTTACCCATTGTTTTAATTAATAAAAGTAATTTTTGCTAAGCAAATTATTTTAATTAAAATATATCCAGTATATATAATGTTTAAAGTCCTCAAAGTATATAATTTAATGACTAGTTACTAAGCCATTCCGTGTTTGTTTATTTGTTTGTTATTGTGAATTTGACCAAAAAAAAATAGCCCTTGCAATATTTACATGAACAATAAAATTACACTGGAATACATATGCAAGAGTCAATATAATTAAGTTGTTTAGAAGCAAAAAAAAAAAAAAACGGAGCACAAGATTTATAAATCGAGGGAATGAAATAGTAAATTGTCCGGGGAAGGTCTCTTTTTTAAAGTTTCGTTAAGTTTACAAATTTACAATAAAAAAAGTGATGCATATCAGAATTCTTACATATAGCCCCTCTAACCATGAAATAATTATTACTCATTTCATTATAGTAGGCAATATAGCCCATAGTTCACATAAATCTAATAAAATAAAATTACTTATTTGTTTCGACGAACAATAGAAACTATAGAAATACAGATCACACAACAGTATTTGATTAATATAAACATCTTTGAAATTCAGTACATTTTCCATATCATAGTTTTAAAGGGGTAGGTATAATTGCTATAATTGGGTCACCAGTGCATCTATCAACCCAGAAAACATGAAAAGTGACAACCCAGTAACTTTGTTTTCGTAAGCCTTTCTCTGCAAGCATGTCAAAAAATAAATCAGATTTTGCTCCCCTTCTGACATAGGAAGGGGATCTTATTATAATATTACCACCCCTTAATCTGCATGTTTCCACCCACGGCGCCTCCATTTGGCGACAACAGTGTAACCAGTTCTAATGCAATGGCAAAAGTTCGAGCAAAGCATGCAAACTGTTCTGTCGTTGCTGCACAGACGAGCACAGAACACTATTTGACCAAAAAATGTCACAGCAGCTCATTTGCATTTAAAGGGACACACGCACAAACGGCGCGTTTTTGCTCACACCCAAAAAGGGGCAAATTTGACAAGCTATAATAAATGATCTGGGTGATGGTATTACGATATTACATTTTGTGAAAAGGGGCATAATATGTCATCTTTAAACTCAAATGTCTACTTTTAATGGAATTACAAATTACCTTTAATCACATACAAGTGAGTTTGTGAAGGAAATCTCATAATGTTTTTGCAACAAACCTCTCTGCCCAAACCTCTAATGCCAGAAATGTGTAGGTTAATAAAGGACGCAACCTTTGTGTTTTTCACTTTCTCTTCCTTTGTTTGGCCCCACCGTTTAAGCCTTGCCCTCAAATCTAAAGCTATATATGAAAACTCTTCTTTTCCCCCATTGCTTCTTTGTAAGGTTAAAAAGAATGGTCAAGGGTCCCTATCCGTCCAACTTATGTTTGGTTACCCTGAGAACAAGAGAGAGGCCAGGAGGTGGTATGTGTGGGGTTCAATTCACTGCATTATCCCCTGAAAGCTAATCTCAGGCCAGCTTAGGCCTTCTTACCGCTCTCTGACTGTGAATGGCTGAGTGAAAAGTTAAATATTCTTTCACATGTAAAACTGCCAGGCCAAGTTGGGATTGTGAAGGTGTCAGTGTGGGATTTGGAGACCCTTGGTTGACATAGGCAACAGGAAGACGGGGCTAACCTCATTATCAGGAGGGGGGAGGGGTTACTATATGTACTTATAGCATCTCGAAATACATCTTCGTGATCTCCTACACTTTCCTGCAAATTAAAATTCCAGTCTAGCCACAAAACCTTTGGGCAAATATATGGGTACAAAAAGAGAGCAGGCTTAAACAATTGGAATGTTCCACTCTCAAATCTCCTGTCATCAAGTCTTACCTTCACCTGGATCAGCGAGGCCCCGAAGGCACCATCAGCGGCGCAGCTCTGGCTTCTCTCCAAGCATGAAAGCCCAAAGGATGCGGAGGCTACAGCAGATTACCAGGTCATTGCGAACGCTGCCCTTCAGGCACAGGACACCCTACTGAGGACAGCATCAGTGCTTGTGTGCTGGTGCATGCCTTGTGTTTGCAGAGTTTCAGCAAAGTAAGCCAAGAGAACAATCATTATTCCAGCCAACTACTCACCAGGATCAATGCTGTGCACTTTAGAAAAGAAAAAGCTGTCCCTTTTGCAGATTTTTTGGGGGTGATCCCACTTCCAGGTGAAACATAAGGGCAGTTAGGAAGTCATTACACATTGTTGAATGTCTTTAGCTGTGCAAACAACACAGCATTACTATTTTACCTTTCTTTCACGTCATCTTGAACAAATGCCTTAAAATCTAGGGTTATTTTTTCTACCCAAATCCTGGGTTGAGCCATTGGGTCAATTTGTTTAGTTGTTTTTTCAGTGTTTGGGTAGTTTTTGTGTTGTCCAGCTCCTGGTTCAAACGTAACAACCCAATGTTTGGGTAGTTTTTGTGTAACCCAGGTCCTGGGTCAGACGTAACAACCCAGGGGTTGAGTTATTCATTGCGGGCTATTTGCGACCCCCTCAGAAGAGAGCAGTGCAGCTCCGTCAAATTGGTGCATGTCTTTGGTAAAATACAGGTTTGTGTACATTTTATTTGATCTATAAATTCGTTATTGTTCTGTATCGTTTAATGTTATGCAAAGCAACATACAGGGGCGCGATGTTAGTCACGTCAGTCTTTATGCGTGATGGAAACATCCGATGCCTCGCATAACATTTTATGATTTTATTCCAAAAAGATACAAAATATAACGTAGAAAGTTTAAATATATGTTCTCAGAACTGTACCCTGACTGTTTATGGACAGTTATGGAGTCAGTCACAGCATATTTCGGATACGAGTGAAACGCAGTTAGAAGTTCCCCCGCTGACTATGACACAAGATGCGGCATGAGATTCAGAGCCGTTACAGTGGAAACGGGACAACAGAGACTGATCAATTACACTTGAATTACTTATAATCTAAATGTGTTAATTTTTACTTCTAATATTTGTTAAATGTGCTTAAATGTATACAATATTCAAAACTATATAATATGTTATACCAACATAAAGGAATTATCATGCAAACCGGTTGTGTGGAGTTTTTTTTTGTTTTTTTACAGTTTAGAGGATTTAAGTTAATCTGTAAACTTTAATTAATGTATGAAGTAAAAAAAAAAAAGCAAAAGCAAAAAAAATAACCAACTAATTCTATAGTAAAAACGAATCAACCCATTATATGCTGGGTAAAATAAACAACCCAATTTGCTGGGTAAAATTAACCCAACATGTGTTCTATATTTATCCAGCCCAAATTGGGTTGTTTTTAACCCAGTGTTTTTTAGAGTGTAGGCCCTTTTCAGTTAAGAGTCATGGACAGTCAGCAAAAGCATTTGTAGGTATAATCTCACACATTTAGATGCTATTCTCTCTGTCATTTCCTGGGAAATGGCT